TGTACGTACATAATCCCATCCGTATATATATCTGTAAGGGAATTCTACACACACACACACACACACACACACACACACAACGCAAACACCTGTCTATAAATTATCTTATATTTATGAGTTTGTGAGTATAAACAGGTGAACAAGGACCACCCACACACACACACACACACAACGCAAACATCTGTCTATAAATTATCTTATATTTGTGAGTTTGTGAGTATAAACAGGTGAACAAGGACCACCCCACCCCCCCCCCTACACCGGGACTCAAATAAGAGGATGTCGTGAGTACATGTAATCTATGAGGCCGAGTCCTTGGAGTCATGTTGGTGAATTTTAGAGGAGGCGAGTACAGTATTCTCCTTTACATAACCCGAGTGCACGTACTCTGCCACTGCTTCTAGTTCACCAAAAGTCGGACTTGGTGACTTGTTGTAGCGTTTAAACCCCCCAAAACCGAAGCCTGGTGAACGGAAGAGTCGTCGGAGTTCACGTGAGGTCATACTTGGTGATTCATCCTGATTAATAAACTCATCTCGACTATGGAATGAGGAAAACATATCCAGAGTTGAGTATTTCTTCTTTTCCTTACCATTATCCTCCGCTGCTGATGCTAAACTACCATTCGACCCGACACTCGTTAAGCTGTTCATGTTCTCTGATGATCCGTGACCTGAATCATCCGCTGGTGATATCTTGGAGTGGTTCAGATCATGTGGTCGGTGTTTCGTGAATGGTGAACCAACTTGAGGTCTTGTGAGTTGGTCTTTTGGTTCGTCTGAGGTTTGGGTTCGTGGTTCATTTATTTCAGGTGTGTCTTTGGTCATTGTGTTTTGAGCTGAGGGCCCCGTGGATACTGAGGGCCCCGTGGATACTGAGGGCCCCGTGGATACTGAGGGCCCCGTGGATACTGAGGGCCCCGCGGATACTGAGGGCCCCGCGGATACTGAGGGCCCCGCGGATACTGAGGGCCCCGCGGATACTGAGGGCCCCGTGGATACTGAGAGCCCCGTGGATACTGAGGGCCCCGTGGATACTGAGGGCCCCGTGGATACTGAGGGCCCCGTGGATACTGAGGGCCCCGCGGATACTGAGGGCCCCGCGGATACTGAGGGCCCCGTGGATACTGAGGGCCCCGCGGATACTGAGAGCCCCGCGGGAGATGGGGTAGCAAACAAGCTTCTCAAATTTCCAACCAATTCGTCTAATTCAGTTAGACTTGATGATTGAGGTAAAGAGGAAGAAAGCTGAGTTTGGGATGAAGGTAATTTAGTCCCCACCACTGCATTCTGACCAGAGGAACCTGAAGAAGAGGAACTACCTGAAGAAGAGGGACCACCTGAAGAAAGTCGACCATGTGTACCTGAGGTTATAGACAACACCTCACTGGATCCAAACGACACCTGGACTCCTGATGGTGGGCGAGAGTGAAACATAAGTTCCCCCACTGTCTGGCCAGGGTCATCAGAGAACGGGATCCTAACCTCTTGAGAGATGCTGTGTTTGGTTATCTCACTAAGGGTGTGTTCATCTCGTTGTGGTGGATGAGATAATGTCTCTCTCTCACTGCCTGTTTGTCTCGTAGCTTCATCTGGAGATCGTCTCGTAGAAATCATCATTCTTGGCTGTTGGGTTTCTACATTAGACATTCTGGTCTGTCTGTCTGTGAGTAAAGGAGTTTGTTCCGGAATGTGAGATCGATTTGAGGGTCTCTTCGGTGAATGTGTGTTGTCACTTATCATGTCTTGGGATCTGGATTCCTTGATAACTACAGGAGACGGACCTCTAGAATTACTGGAAGGAGATCTGGATTTGCTGGAAGGAGATCTGGATTTGCTGGAAGGATGTCTGTTGATTTTTGTTAGAGATTTCGGTCTTGATTCTTGTATGAGTTCGTTGTTTTGGTTTGCCTCGCTGCCTGAAGACTTGTTGGAGACCCTCGACTGTCTTCTAGGTGGTGTTGGCGGCTGTCCTCTGTTACCCATCATTGATTTGGTCTCAGATTCGACGATAGACGTGGAGCTTCGACTTCTGTAATCTATAGGAGTTTGTTTTGGTGTAAATGATCGACTTATAGGCGTTTTTGTAGGATCTTCAGACACGTAATTTATAAACGCGACTTCAGAGTTTCCAAAAGATGTACTGGAATGAGTTCGAGTTTCATCTACATTGGGTGTTTGAGTACGAGGTTGACTTCTTAACTCAAGTAAGGCTTCATCTCTTATAATCATCACTGTTTTGTTTTCAGGTCCTCTGTGTGATTGTCTTGAACGGCTTCTTGTTGCGCTCGAATCTCTCTTTATGTTATTGAATCCTGACTCTCCTGGTGGCTGTCTTCTGGTCACATGAGCTCTGGATATTGATGCTGGTGTAACAGGTTTCGATTCGCTTTCGTAAACACTTGAGGAGTTTGTTGAAGGATCTGATTCTTCTCTGTTTTCCATCTGGTATTGTGTGAGGGAGGTGATGACTTTCTCCAGTACGCCGTCCACGATCACTCTGGCCCAGAAGGTGATGTCGTGTTCATAGACGATATTGGTGATCTCAACCTTGTCCCTGTGCCGTTGTAGGGCCTCGGCGTACACCCCCTGTAGGTCCACAAAACCTTCCGCGATGATTCTTGAGGATAAATAGCGAATGTACCTCTGCATCGCCGGAGAAGCTTTCGAGTACGACTCTAAGATAAGGTCCTCCTTGACTTCTAGCTCAGCCAGACTCGAGGTGGACTGTCTGCCACCAGGTGTGTAAATTTCGGGGATTTGGGAATTCTCAGCTGAGGTTCCCGAGGATGAAGTGTTGTCGCCCTCTTGGTCTTGATTTTCTCTGGTGTGAGTCAAGGGTCTCAGGCTGAGGCTGTCGAACCGTGAGTCCGTCCCCAAGGTGATGAGTGTGGGCGTGAGTAACGGCGTGGGCGACTCTCCATCCATACCCGTGGGCGGTGGGGTACACGTGGGCTGAAGACTGGAGACTGATGGAGACCCCGCAGGTGTGTGAGGCAGGTTTGTGGTGTTGGAGACTGGTGGAGACCCCGCAGGTGTGTGAGGCAGGTGTGGACGGGTTTTGGTGTTATCATCGTCAGAGTCAGAGTCAATGTCGTGGATCTTACTGAGAGCTTCTTTAAGTCTCTCCGTCGCCTCCACACTGTTGACGACGCGGGACTCTCGCTTCCTCCACAGGCTCTTGGTCCTGGCGGGGGACACTGGGAGCCTCAGGGGGGTGGGCGTCAAGGGTCTCGGTGAAGGAGACTCTGGGAGCTCTTTCCCGGGGCGTCGTTTGATGTGCGGCAGGAGTGTGTGTCGAGTCAGACCAGAACGAGGTTTCTCGGGGAGGTTACGAGGTAGAGGTCGACCATAGAGGGCTTTAGTGAGAGGTGTACTTTGGAGACCTCGAGGTAGGGGTTTCCGACACCTATTGAGACGCTCTACGTGGCTTGAGTACGCGTTAGCTCGCCGGTTTGTACTGGGGGGTTCCACGGCGTCTTTGTCGACACACTGGGAGTGGTCGATGAGGCGGAGTCTGTCGGCAAGTTGCGAGGCGCTGAAGGAGGAGGAGGAGGAGGAGGAGGAGGAGGAGGAGGAGGGGGAGTTGGAGGGGGAGGAGGGAGAGGAGTTGGGTTGTGGCATAGTGGCTGCCGAGGCGTTGAGGCGAGGAAGACCACCACTTCGACCCCGCGACAACAGGTGAACGATGGAACGATGAAGGTGAGGAGAGAAGACCAGCCTCTCCTCCTCCAGGTATCGAGGGTGAGGTACAGACTCAAGGTCGGAGTAACAACCACTCATATCATTGCCCAACCAATCAGCAACCTCGAACTCCATACCATCACTCATACCTAACTTAACGGTCTCATATACACGCCTGCCACCCACCTCCCCGCCGCCCACCGCCCAGCCACCACCACCCTCCCCGCCGCCCACCGCCCCGCCACCCTCATCACTCAAGGACACGGGATCGAAACCCTTAAGACGAGGTAACTCTTCTTCCTCCTCCACCGTCCTTGTCATCGCCCACGCCTCCTGTGAGCTGTGGGTGGTGGATGTGGACGTGTGTGTGGGCGTGTGTGTGGGCGTGTGTGTGGGCGTGGTGGGCTGGTCCTCGGGTAGCTCAAGCAGGGTCTCCAAGATGTGGTACGTCTCCCTCACCAGCAGCGACTTCTGCGGGAGAGACAGTATCAGTACTGCCGCCCGCACGCCCGCACGCCCTCACGCCCACACAAACACAAGGAGGTCAACCAACTTAAAATCTAATATAAGTAAACAACCCGACGATGTTGTTTACATACCCGTCACCGAGTCATTGTTTACAAAGACGTGATCGTGATGGTGTAGTTTATCGTTTACGTGTAGACAGGTGGCTATATGACGTGTCTGGTAGCAGTCAAGTGTCTGATGAAGGAATGGATCAATGTTGTGACTGTCTCTCTCTCTTGCTCTCTGTCTATCTGTATGTCTGTCTCTCTGTGTCTATCTGTACGTCTGTCTCTTTCTGTCTACATACCTGTCTGTCTCTCTAAGATTATCAAAGAATAATTCATAGTTATTGAGCTTCCTGGCGCCATTGTGACGTCACGCGAGGATGTAAACAAAGGGGCGGTGCTTAAATGTACGTATATGAGGCCCGCCATTATGACGTCATGCGAGGATATAAACAAAGGGGCGGAGCTTAAATGTTCAGGAAGACGACGAATAAAGATCAATAAAAATAATAAGAACAACGAAAGAACAAGAACTGGGAGAACAAGAAGAAGAACAAGAAGAACAAGAAGAAGAACAAGAACTGGGAGAACAAGAAGAAGAAGAACAAGAACTGGAAGAACAAGAATTGGAAGAACAACGAAGAAAAAAAAGAATATGAACAACAAATAACAATAATTGGAAGGAGAAGATTTGGAAGAACAAAGAAGAACAAGAACAAAAACAAGAAGAACAAGAACAAAAACAAGAAGAACAAGAACAAGATCAACACACAGGTAAAGACAGCAACAGGTGTCATTAACTCACATTATCAGTGACTTGTAGCGTCTCGGGGTAGTTTGACACAAGGTAGTCAACCACATCTCGATGGCCGTGAACTGTAGCTTTATGCAGTAGACCCACGCCCTGTAGTGAACACCAGAAGAACTTATCATTACTTAAACCTTACTTAGATGTTACTTTACCCTCACTTACAACAACTATAACAAAAACAACTAAATATTCAGTCAAACATTTAAAAAAAACAAGTAAAATCCTCGATAATGAAACACACTTGCGTCATGGGAGAACTTGAGACAATATGGCGGACATTTGTGACAGAGACTATGTGTATGGTGAGTGTATATATGTGTTTCGGTTATAATACAGTTGTACCATATATACTACAGGTACACTACAGGTACACTACAGGTAATTATCTCACCTGTGCGTCCTTAGAGCGGGCCAGCTTCCTCCGGTCTAAAAGGGCTTTGAGTTCACGTAAGTTCCCCTTCTCTACCGCGTCGTGCAGAAGGTCTATCTTTGACTGTAGGGCAGAGAAGACTCGGTTAGGTTAGGTTATATTATGTATATTTCAACATACAGAGAGACAGAGAAGCAGACAGACAGATGTATATAGACGCCCTCAATTTATATAATAATTCCCACCCATCGAAACTAAATACTGTACACAGAATCCCGCCAATAATACTATGGCTACCAGTGACGTCACGTTATAAACACGCCTCTGAGTGGTCGCAGGTTCATGACTTCACCTATCAACACACTCATGATTGGTCAAGAGATGATGCCGTCACGGAATATAACTCGCTATTGGTTCTCTAGATATGACGTCATGAATAGTGGCCTATGACTATTGGTTGACTGGTTGCCATGATGCTCAATGATTCACCAATGTCAACAAACAGTGTCCACGAGCCCATTATTATTATTATTATTATTATTATTATTATTATTATTATCATTATTATTATTATTATCAAATATGACAACACAACATAATTAAATATATCAAGTCATTACATCACCTGAATATTACACCTTAGTTCACCTTAATATTAACTGCACCTAACCTAACCTAACGTAACACTAACCTAACCTAACGTAACACTAACCTAACCTAACTTTACGCTAGGAGAGAGAGAGAGAGAGAGAGAGAGAGAGAGAGAGAGAGCTCACAAAAAACTCATTAATACACTATCAAAGGTGTAGCCACTCACTTACACCTTAATTACAGGTGTTTGGCGCTTGAAGGTGTGTGTGTGTGTGTGTGTGTGTGTGTGTGTGTGTGTGTCATATCACCTTACTCTCCTCCACACCCTCCTTGGCACCTCACCTAGCACCCCCCCACCTGGCACCCTTCATGGCACCTCATGGCACCCCTCACCTGGCACCCCCCCACCACGCACCACCCCATGGCACCCTCTTGGCACCCTTCACCTGTGCAGCACCCCTCTGGCACCCTCACTTGGCACCCCTCCTGGCACCCCTCACCTGGCACCCCTCACCTGGCACCCTCACCTGGCACCCCTCACCTAGCACCCTCACCTGGCACCTCACCTGGCAACCTCACCTGGCACCCTTCACAACAATCAATACCCCTGGCACTCACAGTTCCACGAAACCTCTTGTGGGTTGTACATAAAGTGCCAGTCAGTGCCACCTGTATGTATGTATGTATGTATGTATGTATGTATGTATGTATGTATGTATGTATGTATGAATGTATGTATTCCAAGGATACATCGTATGTGTATTGTACTGTATCTTTCGTGTGTGTGTGTGTGTGTGTGTGTGTGTGTGTGTGTGTGGAGAACTCATAAGGACACCAGAAGGAGCTATATGACACCTGTAGGACTCACCACATAAGAAGGGACAGTCTTAAGGAAGCTCCGGACTTTCTGGTCAGTGGCATGTTGATTGACCAGCTTTGACCCTTGACCCTGAAGGATAATTTCTTCCAGGGCCTCCACATCCGCGGCCCTGATGTACTCCCTGATCTTGGCTGAGGCCGGACCATTGTCGCTGTTCAGGGCTAGGGGCGAGAGTAGGGTGTTTAAGGGCATTCTAGGGCATTTAAGGTCTTTTAGGACATTCTAGGTCTTTCTAGGATGTTTAAGGTCACGCACATACACACATACACACACACACACTTCCCAGGCGTTATTAAGTGGCTCGTAAAACACCACTAATTACCCACCAATTACCTCCCTCGGTCACCTAATTGGGCTGATAACTAGAGACCAGCAGTTAATTACTTACTCACTTAATTCATTATTGAGTTACTTATAAAATTAGTTCATTTGTCACCTAATAACTTATCTATAAATTTATAAGTACGATCTTAATCACCAATCACAAATCTGCTTCAGTGGCCTTGAGATTCGGACCTAATAGCCTTGTTTACACTATACTGATCGTTAATGTGAAATGACGTTACTATTATTCAAGGTTAGCTCAACAAAACCCTTCCTAATGCTGATTGGTTGATATTGAACTCATCTTTCTGCTGATTGGTTGATGTTGAACTAATCTTACTGCTGATTGGATGATATTTGCGTAACAATAATATAAATTTTAACTCTCTCTCTCTCTCTCTCTCTCTCTCTCTCACATAACCTAACCTAACCTAACCTAACCTAACCTTTTGGTGGTGATGAATGAACGTACAATCCATTCTGCATAGACTTGTTCTTGTTGTTGTTGTTGTTGTTGTTGTTGTTGTTGTTGTTGTGACGCGCCCCCAAGGAAGGTCGGCCTGGTGCGCCCTTGGTTCTCGCCATAGTGAAGTCTGTTTCTCAACCTGGAAATACACGTAACATAATCTGGAGTTAATTCTTAGAGTTTTATAGGGGTATGAGGTGTGAGGGTGTGTGTGTGTTGTGAGGGTGTGTGTGTTGTGAGGGTGTGTGTTGTGAGGGTGTGTGTGTTGTGAGGTGTGTGTGTTGGTGTGTGTGTGTTGTGAGGTGTGTGTGTGTGAGGGTGTGTGTGTTGTGTGAGGGTGTGTGTGTTGTGAGGTGTGTGTGTTGTGAGGGTGTGTGTGTGTTGTGAAGGTGTGTGTTGTGGTGTGTGTTGTGAGGTGTTGTCTGTGGTGTGTGTGTTGTGAGGTGTGTGTTGTGAGGGTGTGTGTGTGTTGTGAGGGTGTGTGTTGAGAGGGTGTGTGTTGTGAGGTGTGTGTGTGAGGTGTGTGTGTGTGTTGTGAGGTGTGTGTGTTGTGATGGTGAGGGTTGTGTTGTGTGTTGTGGTGTGTGTGTGTGAGGTGTGTGTGTATTGTGAGGTGTGTGTGTTTGTGAGGTGTGTGTTGTGAGGGTGTGTGTGTTTGTGAGGTGTGTGTGTTGTGAGGGTGTGTGTGTTGTGAGGTGTGTGTGTGTGTGTGTGTGTTGTGAGGTGTGTGTGTGTTGTTGGGGTGTGTGTTGTGAGGGTGTGTGTGTGTTGTGACAGAGGGTGTGTGTTGTGAGGGTGTGTGTGGGCAGAGGGTGGTGTGTTGTGGTGTGTGTGTTGTGAGGTGTGTGTGTGTGTTGTGAGGTGTGTGTGTTGTGAGGTGTGTTGTGAGGGTGTGTGTGTTGTGGGGGTGTGTTGTGAGGTGTGTGTGTTGTGGTGTGTGTGTTGTGGGGTGTGTGTGTTGGTGTGTGTGTGTGAGGGTGTGTGTGTGAGGGTGTGTGTGTGTTGTGGGGGTGTGTTGTGGGGGTGTGTGTGTGTGTGTGAGGGTGTGGTGTGTGTGAGGCAGAGGGGGTGTGTGTTGTGTGTGTGTTGTGAGGTGTGTGTGTGTTGTGGTGTGTGGGTGTGTGTTGTGAGGGTGTGTGTTGTGAGGGTGTGTGTGTTGTGAGGGTGTGTGTGTGGGGAGGGTGTGTGTTGTGTGGGTGTGAGGTGTGTGTGTTGTGGGGGGGTGTGTTGTGAGGGTGTGTGTGGGGTGTGTGTGTGGGGGGTGTGTTGTGGGGGTGTGTGTGTTGTGAGGGTTGTGAGGTGTGTGTGGGGGGTGTGTGTGGGCAGAGGGTGTGTGTGTGTGTTGTGAGGTGGTGTGAGGGGTGTGTGTGTGTGGGGGTGTGTGTGAGGGGTGTGGGGGTGTAAGGGGAGGTAAGCAGAGGGTGTGTGTGTGTTGTGAGGGGTGTGTGTGTGAGGGTGTGTTGTGAGGGTGTGTGTGTTGTGAGGGTGTGTTGTGAGGGGGTGGTGTGTGTGTGTTGTGTGAGGGGGTGTGTGTGTTGTGTGAGGTGTGTGTGTTGTGAGGGTGTGTGTGTTGTGAGGGTGTGTGAGGTGTGGGGTGTGTGTGTGCTGGGGTGTGTGTTGAGGGTGTGTGTGTTGAGGGAGGGGGTGTGTGTGGGTGTGTGGGAGGGTGTGTGTGTTGTGAGGGTGTGTGTGTTGTGAGGGTGTGTGTTGTGAGGGTGTGTGTGAGACTGTGGTGTGTTGTGAGGTGTGTGTGGGGGGGGTGTGTGCTGTGAGGGTGTGTGTGTTGTGAGGGTGTGTGTGTGTTGTGAGGGGGGTGTGTACAGAGGGTGTGTGTTGTGGGTGTGTGTGTGAGGGTATTGTGTGTGAGGGGTGTGTGTGGGCAGTGTGTGGTGTGTGTGGGGTGTGTGTTGTGAGGGTGTGTGTGTTGTGAGGTGTGTGTGTGTGTGAGGTGTGTGTGTTGTGAGGGTGTGTGTGTGTTGTGAGGGTGTGTGTGTGGGGTGTGTGTGTGTGTTGTGAGGTGTGTGTGTGTTGTGAGGTGTGTGTGTGTTGTGGGGTGTGTGTGTTGTGAGGGTGTGTGTGTTGTGAGGGTGTGTGTGTGTTGTGAGGGGTGTGTGTGTTGTGGGGTGTGTGTGTGTTGTGGGGTGTGTGTTGTGAGGGTATGTGTGTGAGGGGTGTGTGTGTTGTGAGGGTGTGTGTGTGTGTTGTGGTGTGTGTGTGTTGTGAGGGTGTGTGTGTGGGGTGTGTGTGTTGTGAGGGTGTGTGTGTTGTGAGGTGTGTGTGTGTTTGTGGTGTGTGTGTTGTGAGGTGTGTGTGTTTGAGGTGTGTGTGTGTTGTGAGGGTGTGTGTGTGAGGTGTGTGTGTGGGGTGTGTGTTGTGAGGGTGTGTGTGTGTGTGTGTTGTGTGAGGGTGTGTGTGTTGTGAGGTGTGTGTGTTGTGGTGTGTGTGTTGTGAGGGGTGTGTGTGTTGTGTGTGATGGTGTGTGTGTTGTGGGGTGTGTGTGTTGTGAGGGTGTGTGTGTGTGGGGTGTGTGTGTTTGGGGGTGTGTGTGTTGTGGTGTGTGTGTGTGGGGTGTGTGTGTGTTGTGAGGGGGTGTGTGTTGTGAGGGTGTGTGTGTTGTGAGGGTGTGTGTGTTGTGATGGTGTGTGTTGTGAGGGGTGTGTGTGTTGTGAGGGGTGTGTGTGTTGTGGGGTGTGTGTGTTGTGGTGTGTGTGTGTTGTGAGGGTGTGTGTGTTGTGAGGTGTGTGTGTGTTGTGAGGTGTATGTGTGAGGTGTGTGTGTTGTGATGGTGTGTGTGTTGTGAGGTGTGTGTGTGGGTGTGTGTGTTGTGAGGGTGTGTGTGTTGTGAGGTGTGTGTGTGTTGTGAGGGTGTGTGTGTTGTGAGGGTGTGTGTGTTGTGAGGGTGTGTGTGTTGTGGTGTGTGTGTTGTGGTGTGTGTGTTGTGAGGGTGTGTGTGTTGTGAGGGTGTGTGTGTGTTGTGTGAGAGTGTGTGTGTGTGTTGTGAGGGTGTGTGTGTTGTGGGGTGTGTGTGTGTGTTGTGAGGGGTGTGTGTGTTGTGGTGTGTGTGTTGTGAGGGTGTGTGTGTTGTGGGGGTGTGTGTTGTGAGGGGTGTGTGTGTTGTGAGGTGTGTGTGTGTTGTGAGGGTGTGTGTTGTGAGGGTGTGTGTGTGTTGGGGTGTGTGTTGTGGAGGGGTGTGTGTTGGTGAGGGTGTGTGTGTGTTGTGGGGTGTGTGTTGTGAGGGTGTGTGTGGTGTGGCGGGGGTGTAAAAATAATATTGAATTTTCTTCAATATGACTCTCTCTCTCTCTCTCTCTCTCTCTCTTTATACAGTTCTCATTCAGAAACCACACGAAACCTATGTATATGTATGTATGTATGTATGTATGTATGTCTTACCTGTTGCCATGACGCGACAGGTAGGAAGGATTCCGTCCACCACCTTCAACTCTTTCATATAAACTGATTCACTCTGTCATACCACCTCACCTTCTCACCCCCGCCCCCCCCCCCCATCAGCCGATACTACAACCATGCGCTCCTCCTACCTGTCCACCTGTATACCTGTCCCACCTGTATCCTACCTGTCACCTGTATACCCACCTGTCCACTTATCTACCTACCTGTCCACCTACCTGTCCACCTACCTGTATACCTACCTGTCCACTTATCTACCTACCTGTCCACCTACCTGTCCACCTACCTGTATACCTACCTGTCCACCTGTCTACCTACCATCCCACCCACCTGTCCACCTGTATACCTGTCCACCTGTATACCTACCTGTCCACTTATCTACCTACCTGTCCACCCTCCACCTGTATACCTACAGTCCACCTGTATACCTACCTGTCCACCTGTCTACCCACCTGTCCCACCTGTATACATACCTGTCCACTTATCTACCCACCTGTCCACCTACCTGTCCACCTGTATGCCTACCTGTCCTGTATGCCTACCTGTCCACCTGTTTACCCCACCTGTCCACTGTATACCTACCTGTCCACCTGTATACCTACCTGTCCACTTATCTACCTACCTGTCCCACCTACCTGTCCACCTGTATACCTACCTGTCCACCTGTATACCCACCTGTCCACCTGTATACCTACCTGTCCACTTATCTACCTACCTGTCCACCTACCTGTCCACCTGTATACCTACCTGTCCACCTGTGTATCCTGTCACCTGTATACCTCCCACCTGTATACCTACTGTCCTTATCTACCTACCTGTCCACCTGTATACCTACCTGTCCACTATACCTACCTGTCCACCTGTCTACCACCTGTCCACCCACCTGAGATACGCTGGCATTGAGTCAGTGGAGCACCAATTTACTCATGTATGTAGAGATGATATATTATAATAGAGTGTTAATAGGGTGTGGTGACCACCATCAGTCACCTCACAGTGTGGTGACCACACCATCAGTCACCCTCACAGTTTGATACACACCATCAGTCACCCTCACGGTGTGTGACCACGCAATCATTCCCTCACAGTGTGGTGACCACCATCAGTCACCCCTCAGGTGTGGTGACCACACCATCAGTCACCCCTCAGATGTGGTGACCACACCATCAGTCACCCCCCAATGACCAACCACCATTAATGTCATCATGTGTGTGTGTGTGTGTGTGTGTGTGTATGTGTTTACTGTATATTAAAGGCAAAACCTACAAATAATTCAATATTATCATTTGTTTACATAAAAACATTGACGTACATACACTACTTATATACATTGTTTATATAGCTACAGTGAGTATATAAACACCTCAGACTAATGTTTATCTATCTACATTAGTTTTCCCTTCACAATGGTCCCAACTAAAATATTTTTATAATAACATTAATTAACATTAATCTTCCTCTAATATATGACAAATATTTAACATATAATAATATAATAATAAATTTACACAGTAGTTAATAATTAACATTTATTAAGTGGTGGAAAAGGTTCTTATTTACATATAAACTCATACGTGTTACTTTTATGGCGAGGTACATCAAGGCATTATCTACAGGCGCCTCACACCATCAACTGCGGTGAACGTCATGGGCTACGATTGATGTTTAGTTATGTTGATGTCCACACGGTCTTAGTGTCTCGATTTATTTGTTTGTTGTCGTGGTTAATAAATAGATGTATACCATTACTGTGTACACCAACAAACTCCGTGTATACCATTACTGTGTACCAACAAACTCCTGTGTATACCATTATTGTTTACACCAACTAACTCGTGTATACCATTATTGTGTACACCAACTCTTCCCTTGTATACCATTACTGTGTACACCAACTAACTCCGTGTATACCATTATTGTGTACACCAACTAACTCCGTGTATACCATTACTGTGTACACCAACAAACTCGTGTATACCATTACTGTGTACACCAACTACTCCGTGTATACCATTACTGTGTACACCAACAAACTCCGTGTATACCATTACTGTGTACAACAAACTCCGTGTATACCATTATTGTTTACCAACTAACTCTGTGTATACCATTATTGTGTACCAACAACTCCGTGTATACCATTACTGTGTACACCAACAAACTCCGTGTATACCATTATTGTTTACACCAACTAACTGCGTGTATACCATTACTGTGTACACCAACCTATCTGTATACCATTACTGTGTACCAACTAACTCTGTGTATACCATTACTGTGTACACAACTAACTGCGTGTATACCATTACTGTACACCAACAAACTCCGTATATACCATTACTGTGTCCAACTACTGTGTATACCATTACTGTACACCAACTAACTCCCATGTATACCATTACTGTACCAACCAACACCGTGTATACCATGACTGTGTACCAACTAACTCCGTATACCATGACTGTGTACACCAACTAACTCCGTGTATACCATTACTGTGTACACCAACCAACACCGTGTATACCTGACTGTACACCTCAACGTGTATACCATTACTGTATACACCAACACCGTGTACACATTAGTAATATACACCTATTTACATTTATCTTAATGACAAACAATAGATCGGAAGAGTATCAGTGCCCGTGAGGACATCAAAATAACTTCTGCTATAATAGTAGAAAAATAAGTTAAAATAAATTTTGGTAACTTAATGTGACTTATTGTAACTCGCCATAAAGTAACACGTATGAGTTTATATGTGAAATAAGAACCTTTTCCTACTTAATAAATGTTTATTATTAACTTCTGTATAAATTTATTATTATATTATTATATGTTAAATATTTATTATATATAAGTGGAAGATTAATGTTAATTAATGTTATTATAAAATATTTGGGTTGGTGGACCATTGTGAAGGGTGACTAATGTAGATAGATAAACATTAGTCTGAGGTGTTTACGGTTTCTGTGCAGGTCCTCACGACACAGTGGAATGCAAATCGAAAATTCAGAACAAAATCCCAGTTATTTCACGGTGTGTCAGTTGCCATGACAGTCACGATGCCAGTAATGCCAATGGCCCGCATCCTGGCCCTCGCCCGGAAAACTAACCTTGTACCACCGCCCTAGTCTCTGACCTAGCCCGTCAACCAAACCTCACTCCTATCCACCACCGCCTCTTCCACCCACCAAGGATTTACCATTGGTCTTTACTCCTCTACCAACACCGTGAACATCATTACTGTATACACGGTGTTGGTGTACACCTATTTTAATGTTCCTTGAGAACCAGAGTGTCAAGTGTCCGTAAAGACATCCAAAATAAGAGCAATCAACTACCTAATTAGGACGAATCGTTATAATCGTGTTAACAATATATGACCTATTGTAACGCGACATAAAGTAACACGAATGAGTTTATATGTAAATAAGAACCTTTTCCACCACTTAATAAATGTTTATTATTAACTAGTGTATAAATTTATTATTATATTATTATATGTTAAATATTTATTATATATAGGAAGAAGATTAATGTTAATTAATGTTATTATAAAATATTTTGGTTGGTGGATCATTTTCAAGGGTAACTAATGTAGATAGATAAACATTAGTCTGAGGTTTTTACGGTGTTTATATACTCCTATATTGTAGTAGATTTCTCCTACAAACGCTGTTTGTCGCTGAGTATACGACACTAATTCTCCAGTGTATGCCTCGTGGTCTGGGTCAACCAGCGCCGCCATACATCAGGGCGGGGGTCAACTACTAGCCACGCCAACCCCCGCTATTTAAGACCTGACCTCGTGGTGACCTGTCTCTTTCTACCTCCACCAACCAGCCAGCAACACCTCCTCCGCCTGCCTGGCGGTCTTCGCCCTGCCGGCGAGCATGGCGACCCACAAGCTGGTCCTCCTCTGAGCATCCTCACCAACCAGCTCTCTACTTCCCATAAGAACATAAGAATGGAGTAAACTGCAGCCCATTGGCCCATACTGCAGTTCCGTTTACACCAACCCTATTGCTCATATGAGCATCCAGCCTATGTTTGAAGCAATTCAGCGTATTCGAGTTAATGATGATGTTTGGTAACTTGTTCCATTCATCCACTACTCTGTTTCCAAACCAGTGTTTACTTATTCACGACTAAATCTAAATTTGTCTAATTTAAAACCATTGTTACGAGTTCGCTCGGTTGGATAGTTTGTATACCTTTGTAATGTCCCTTGTTTAGCTCTGCCTTCCACTTATACACCTCATCAGGTCGCCCCTCGCTCTACGTCTCTCTCAAGGAGTGCAAATTGTTGCTTTAATCCTGTCTCTGTACTCAAGGTTCCTAATGCCGGATTAGTCTTGTCATTCTCTGAATTCTTTCCATGGATTCTATATCACGCTTGTAACCACGCTGCTTTCCCAGCACCGCTGCATTGTACATCCAATACAACATGTATACAGAGAGCACATCGTGAGTTTCTTTCTCCATCCCATCCTGAGTGTGAACCCAACATCTTCAACCCCAAATATAAACAATGTATATAGAGATGAAGTCTGTAACAATATAGTATACAATGTAATGTCTATATACAGAATTGATATACATCACACATTAAATAAGTATACATGTAAAGCACAATACTGTACACTGTATAAGTACATGCTATATACACTGGGTGTATTACCACATGGTATGTATACTTGTAGGTAGATAAACAGTGTACATAGTGTATAGGTACACAGTGTATATGTACTCTGTATGTATACTAACACTTTATGTATAATGATAAATACCAGCTGTGTATATATATATACCTATAATGTTATATGTATTGTTACAGACCTTCATCTATATACATTGTTTATATAGCTACAGTGAGTATATAAACACCCAGACTAATGTTTATCTATCTACATTAGTTACCCTTCACAATGGTCCACCAACCAAAATATTTTATAATAACATTAATTAACATTAATCTTCCTCTTATATATAAAAAAACATTAAACATATAATAATATTATAATAAATTTATGCATTAGTTAAT